TGTGTGTGTGTGTGTTTTGATGGGAACTGAAACTTTTTGTTTTGTTCTCACGTTGTAGCCCAGGATGGCCCCAAGCTTGGAGGGATCCTCCTGTCCCAGTCTCTCTGGTGCTGCGGTTACAGGTGTGAGCTACCATGCCTGGCTTACAAAAGGTCTTTAAAAACAAACACAGCTTCAAGATTAATCTTTGCAGTATTTTAAAACACACTGAAGAGACGAATTGCCACACGCCAAGTTGGCTGTCCCCTAATATTTTTCTGTCTTTCTATTGAAGGGAGGTGGGGTTTGGGGACCATCTGAGAGTGGGAAGGACCTGGGGACGAAGAGAGAATGTCATGGTGGAAACAGGAAGGGTGGCCAGAGAGGACGCTAATGGTGTTGCCATTACCGGAGTAAGGACACAGAGTGAGGTCTGCCTGTTGGCAGGAGCCGACTATAAAGCTCCTTCGGGGAAGCAAGCCTCACCCTGGAGGGCAGGAATTCACATGTGGAGCCTTCTCCGTGTGTGTGCAGCTGATGGGAACTGAGCCCGCCCGGAGCCGTGTTCCTGCTAAGCTCTGCGTCTCTGACTGAGAGCTACCTCCCATTTAGCTCTGTGTCTCCAGGGCCTAGCACAGGGAAGAAACCACAGCTAAATGAAGTTGTGTCAAATTTGGCTGGAGAGAGAAAGGCTTGGGCCTCCAAGCAATTAGGAGGAGGAAGCAGGCCCACCCAGGCCTGGAGGAGGTAAGGGTTGAAAACGGGACTTCGTGGAGGAAAGGGCATACGTACTTCACAGGGCCGTATGTTTAGTTTTGTGTGCCAACCTGAAGGAGCATGATTCTTCCCCTTCAATATTTATGGTGCTTTTTTGTATGCTTCACTTTGAGTATTCCAAGTGGCAAAATTAAATATGTTTATGTTTACATGAAAAAGTGGATTTACGTGGTCAAGTTATTTGTTCCAGTTTATTCTCTGCAGCAGAACATGGCGCTGCCTAAGCAGAATACTGGCGGCTGGGAAGTCTGGGATCAGGTGCCAGCACAGGCAGGCTCCATGGAGGGACCTCTTCCTCACCCGGTTGATGTCTCCCTGCCATGTCCTCCCGAGGAGAGGGGAGAGGTGTCTTCTCATAAGAGCTCTCATCCCATCTGTGAAGGCGCCACCTTTCTGACCGCGTTATCTCTGAACGCCATCACACCGATCAGGCTTCAGAGGAGCGTTTTGAGGGGAAGGAGCACACACATTCAGTCGTAGCCATGCTCTTCTGTCTTACCTTATTCATCCTAGCTGAATGGGGCAACGGGATAAGCTAGCCTGAAAACAACGAGGCCACGCGGCAGGAAAACGGAAAACATCCTGATGGTTGAAGTATGTTGAACGCTTCAGATATCCGGGTGCTGTGTTGCGCTCTTGTATGTTGTTATCACGCTACATGGTATGGAAATGGCTCACATGAGCAAATTGAGCCTCAGCGTGTTAATGGGACAAGACTGAGCTATATATACAGCAGGAGAACAGCAGAACTGTGAGTCTGGAGCAGGTCTGTGTGGCTCCAAAACTCTACTCAAAACCACCATGCCCCACTTCCTCCCCCAGCAGTTAGCTGAATGGCTTCGCCACATCCGATCTGTAGCTGCAGGCCTCACCCTCTGCTTGTCAAAGGACCAGTATTTAAAAGATGAGGAGGAGGAGGGGGAGGGGGAGGAAGGAGGAGGGAGAGGAGGAGAAGGAGGAAGAGGAGAAGGCATATTTTGGGTTGTTCATTTGTTGTTGTTTTGAGACAGGATCTTGCCATGTAGCTCAGGCTACCTCAAACTCATGGCAATCTTCCGGCCTTAGATTTCCCCAGTGCTGAGATCACAGGCGTCCATCACCACACCCAGCTTAAAAGATTCTTTTTATTTTTATTCTTTGCAGTACTGGGAATCTAAGCCAAGGCCTCATGAATAGCCAAGGCTATGCCCCCAGCCCTGAAAGATTGTTCTTAAGTAAACTATTCCATCTCTGTCTTCCCTTTCTGTCCTTCTTTCTGGTGGCGAGGCTATGCCCCAGAAAGTCACCCAGTATCATCTACGGCAAAGATCGCTATTTCTACCGGGCTTCTCAGTGTAATTCCCTAGACTGTGTGTGAATTGGTGGACATGACATACGACATGACTTCATGCTTTCAGCAGCTTGGACAACCCTCTATTTTCTTGTAGTCCTGCTCCTCGGGGTCACACATTCCCTGAATGAGCAATGGGGAGAAAAGAGGCGGCCCCTTTCCTTTGAGGGGTTTGATGCCCAGGAAGGGCACTTTCCCCAGAATGAGATGTGGTAGGGGGATTCTGGGGCGCCAGATCTGTAGTGTCATGAAGTCTCAGAGGGACAGACCTCTGTGAGTGTCGGTCCCCAAGGCTTGGAAGGCAGTCCTTAGGGGTTGAGTGACTTCAGCATAACTCTCCAGCAGGGACTCAGCTGTCCTCCGACGGTGGCTCTTTTGATAAGGCAAAGAAGTGCAATCTCTGGCCGAGATCTCAAGCAGCTTTTCACAAGATAACAAGCCGGGGAGGCTACAGTGTGAGCTCGCGAAGGCACCTGACTAGACCTAATGTCCGAACTAACTCTGAGGACTCTAACAGTTATCACGGCATGAAACTTAATGCTACATAAAAAGCCATAAATAACAAAAGAGTAAGGAGTTAGACTGCATCATTTCGGAGTCAGAAGATCTGAGTTCTGGGTCCTCTAGCCTCAATCACTTTTCTTAAAACATAGGTACTAACTTCTGGAACATTCCGTAGAAGGATTTGTGTAATGACTGTGGGAGAACATGCCTGTAAACTTTTGTTCAGACAGTCACGTGCCCATGTGTCCGCTGGATCCCTGTGCTGAGACATAAGCTGAATCTGTACATCAGAGCAGAATTTTCTAAAGGTTTCATCATGTGGGTAACACGACGGGAAGCCCACACAGAAACAGCTTCTGCTTTATAATATTGTCAACTAAAGCAAGATGAACAAAATGGCACATAGAATAATAAAAATAGCAATAAATAAATCCTGTCTGAGTGCCTGCTGGCTCCAGGCCTGGGTAAGGCAGGCACTTTACAGAACACACATGCACATAGGTGCATGCACACACACAGACACATACATGTACATACGCGCACACACACACACTCACATGACATGCACTCACACAGGCATACACAGAGACAGAGACACACACACCTCTGTGTGTGCGCGCGCGTGCGTGCATGTGTGCATGTGTGTATGTGTATATGCATGTCTGTGAATATGCATGTCTCAGTGTGTGCCTGTGTATGTGTGTGTATGCCTATGTACATGCATGTGTGAGTGCATGTGTGCGCTCACGTGCGCATGCCTGTGTGTCTGTGTGTCTCTGTGTGTGATCCTAACACTAGGAAAGCTGAGGCAGAAGGGTCAAAAGTCTGAGGTAAGACTGGACAGTATATAAAGACCCTGTATGAGAAAAAAAGAGGTTATTTCTTAGTAGAGAAACAACATATGACCAATGAGCAAGAGAAAAATATGTGTGTATATGTGTGTGTGTGTGTGTGTGTATTCTTAGTAGCATGGTAGGTAATGGCAAAAGCTAGAAACA